GCGGGAGGCGGGAGGCACGGGAGCGGGAGGCACGGGAGCGGGAGGCGGGAGGCACGGGAGGCGGGAGGCGGGAGCGGGAGGCGCGGGAGGCACGGGAGGCGGGAGGCACGGGAGCGGGAGGCACGGGAGCGGGAGGCGGGAGGCGGGAGGCGCGAGGCGGGAGCGGGAGGTGGGAGACCCCCTGCGGGAGCCGCGCCGAGGCTCCGCCGCCGCGCTGTCTGTGCATCTCCACCCCTGGCGGCGAGCTCCCCCGAGAGGGAGGCGCAGGGCGCTGCGGCGGGCCCTTGCGGGCCCCCTGGCCACGCACTGAGCACGCGACAAGGCGCACACACAGGAACGGGAGTGCCCAGCAGCTCGGAGCGGTGCCTGCTTGGGCCTCCGCCTGGAAGTGCTGGGCGGCTGGGAAGGCAGGCAGGCGGCCGCACACATCCTCTCGGCCCACGAGGCGGCTGCGCACCAGAGGCCTGGACCGACAGGGCTCACGGGCTGTGTCCTGGCGCCCCAGGCTCCTCATTCTCCCTGGGATTTCCGTGCCCATGGCCACTTCCTTTCTCTGCCACCTGCTTCTGCTCTCAAGGGTCTGTGACCCTGGCCCCCCGCATCTCTCCTGTGAGCACCTGGGCGCCCAGTAATCCACAGCAAAGCCAACTTCCAGGTGATCACCGCTGCCAGGCCTTGTGCCACGTGAGGCCACATCCCTCTAGGCCATCATTAGGCCAGCAGCGTGGGAGGGTCCGGCACCCCCAAGCAGCTCCCTTCCTGGGGTCACCTCTGCAGAGGTCAGGGACATGACCAAGCAGTTCCTTTCCTGGTGGGTGAGCGGCTTGCTCAACCCATGCGTCTCCGGAGGATGAGTGGGGCAGAGCCCTGCTTCTGCTGATCAGTCCCAGCTGTAGGGGACTGGACCAGGGCCAAGGGGACAGGGGCAGGCACAGACAGACACCCAGCCGCACTCCCCTGGGAGGGAGACAGAAGAAAGGCGGCCTGGGCTGCCCCATCCTGGCTGGCAGAGACCCCAGCACCAAGCACGGGGGCTGGTAACACAGTGACACAACCCCGCCATCTCCCTAGAGGCAGCTCTGAATAAACCTATTCTCCTTGTCAAGAAAGTGTGTGTGTGGGGGGGTTTCTGTGCCCCTAGGACTTGTCTCTCTTCCCACAGGGCTGGTGACGATCAGCTCCTCTCTCATCAGGGCCAGGCCAGGCCTCTAGCGCAGGAGAGGCGGGGCCACAGGGTGAGGGAGGCAGAGGCAGGCGGGCCTGCAGCCTCTGCGCCCTGATACAGGAGACAGGATGCCGCAAGCTGACTGGGGAAATAAGTGGGACCCCAGGAGAGCCCGAACGGTCCTCAGAACTCGCATGTGGGACTTCTCTCGGCTCCTGCAGGCTGCGGCCTGCATAGGAGGGCCCAGACGCTGGGAGGGGCCCTCTAGAAAAGTCTGCACTTTTATTTTTGCCTTTATCTTTTCCTCTCTGTTCAGGTCACGTTCACCCTACAGAGCTAGTTTTTCTCTTACCTCTTCACCCTGCACTTTTCTTTTTTTCTTTGAGACTATGTAGCCCAGGTTGGCTTTGAACTTGCAGCAATCCTCCTGCCTCAGCCTCCTAAGTGGTGGTATTATTGGTGTGTACCACCAGGCCTGGCTGAGCCCTTTTTTTTTTTCTTTCTTCTTTCTCTTCCTTCCTTCCTTCCTTCCTTCCTTCCTTCCTTCCTTCCTTCCTTCTCTCTCTCTCTCTCTCTCTCTCTCTCTCTCTCTCTCTGGGCGGGGCTAGCACAGCATATGTGGTACCCCAGATTTAACTGCAGTCCACTGTGCGTGCCAAAGCTCTTTGGACAGCTGAGCTATCTTGCAGGATGAGCCATTTCTTATTTATTTAGTGCAGGGTCTACAGGGTCCCACTATACAGATTGGACTCCTAGTGATTCTCCTATTTTTTTCAGCTGGGATTACAGGCACATGCCACCACGCCCAGCCTCAATTGCCATCACAGCGTGCCCCAGGGGTGGGGGCTACACAGCGCGCTGGGGATCAAATCCTGGTCCATGTGCTCCCTACGTCTGCCTAAGCAGGCACTTTAATCTGCTGAGCCATCTGGCCGCCCTTTTAGCCTTTTTTTTTTTTTTTTTTGTGGATTGAACTCAGGCCCTTGCGCTCGCCAGGCAAGCGCTTATTCCACTGAGCCAGCTCCCGGCCCCCCTTTTGAGCCATTTTAAAGGAACAACCTGATAGAAGTCCAGTCCCCACTGCCTGGTGGACTCACAGCGGTGCCCTGCCCTGGCCTGGCCTGGCAGGGGAGCACTGTTTATTTTTGTGTTGGGAATTGAACCCAGGGCCTTCCTGCTGAGCTCTCTTCCCACCCCTCTTTAAAATCTTTGGCTGGGTATAGTGGTGCACGCCTGTAACCCCAGCACTCAAGAAGCCAAGGCAGGAGGACTGCTGTGAATTCACAGTCAGTCTGGACTACAAAGTGAGTCTAAGACCAGTTAGAACTATGTGGTGAGATCGTGCCTCAAAAAACCAAAGCAACGAGATTTTCATTTCACACCGGGTCACGTAAGTCGGCGAGTGGTCCAGGCTGGGCCGCAGATCGTGGCTGCTCTGCCCTAGCCTGCCCAGTACCGGGATTATAGATGCACACTGGTATCACCACGCCTGCTCCTCGCTTACACTTGCTCACTCTCTGTTTTCTGCTTTTTTTCTCAGTCTTCAGGGAAGGCCCAGGGCCTTCACACTGACCTACATGCCACTATTTACTTATTCCTTTGAGACAGGGTCTGCTAAACTGCTCAGGCTTGAACTTGAACTTGAACCCCTCCTGCCTCAGCCTCCTGTGCAGCTGGGACGACGGGCCTATGCTACTCTGCCCAGCACCGCCTGCTGTCCAGGGTTGCTGCATGCCAGGGCTGGGCTGTTTCCAGAGCCACCACAGGTGCCAGCCTTCCCTCTCCCTGGCATGCTAGCCATAGCCCCACTGACTGGGCCTCCCCAGGTACCTGTCCTTCCTGGATGACCTCGCAGGCTCATCCCAGAGGAGGGGGCACAGTCCATGCAGGCACAGCTCCTGTCCTCAGACTGTCACAGTGGCGAGCGAGGAAGGCCATCTGTGTACAGGGCCTGAGCTCACATGGACACCCCTCCCAGGCCCTCAGTACCTTCCTGCAAACACAAAAGCCCGTGGCCACAGAGGTGCAGGGAGGCCGAGGGCCCAGTGTGAGGACCCGGGCCATGGCGGCCACGGGGCAGGGCACCAGGTTGGGGACGTTCATCTGACACAGCCAGGCTGCCTTTGGGGTTGGTTGGATTGCCTGGATCAGGCCAGGACAGGGAGGAGGGCCATGTGGGGCACCCACGCTCACCTTACTTGGGGAATGTCACCAGCAGGACGTCCGTGTCCCAGAACTGGAAGCTGCAGGCTGTGCGCAGGGACTCTTGGGTGTGCGTGAACCTGGGGAAGTGGGTGCCATTGAGGACCTCGAGGGTGGCCAACAGGAGACTGTCGCCTTACTAACTGGACTAGGAGTCAGGAGATGCTGTCCCTAAAGTTGACATGAGCCATGCTGGATGGCTTCTGGCCCCTGTCCTGGGAGCCCTTTGAAGGGAGTCTGGTCAGCCTTGCTGTGGCTGGGCCAGGGTGGCCCCACATCCCCCAGGGACTCTGAGTGGCCCGGATCCTCCCTGTGGTCCCAGGCATCACCCTGATGCGGGAGGTGTGTCGATGTCACGGCCCCCGAGGCCCAGCTACCAGGAGAAGCCCCCACTGCTGCTTGCCTGCAGTGGCCAGACGCACCCCTCAGCCTCCACATTGTGGGCGCAGAGCACTGATACACGGCCACACCTTGGGCAGCTCCCAGGAAAGTCCTCCCTGGAGCCTGGGACACCTTGGGCAGGCGCAGGCAGCGGGGCAGAGCTCTGAGCTGTGGCTCGGGACCAGGGCAGGCGTGAGCCAGCAGCACCAGCAGGCGGACAGGTAGAGCTGCCAGGGATGGTCAGGAGGAGGGGGCACCGCCTGTACCCTGCTCGGCAGCACAGAGAAGCCGGTTTCTTTGCAATGCAGTGACATATTTGTGGTGGCACCTCGCCCTGCACAGCTAGCCCGGACCCTCCTCCTCCTGCTCCCATCCCAGCCTCTTCCACTCCTGCCACCAAGTCCAAGTCCCTCAGCCACGGCCAGCGCCAGGCAGGGTTGAGTTTCCAAACAGTATTTGCAGACTCTGGGTCGAGTCTCCTACCCTCATCCTCCCGCAGCCAAGCCCTGCACCCAGTGGAGCGGGAGGAACCCCGCACCCTCGTGGTCAGGCAGGACTCCTCCAGTGGGTGACGATTGTGACTGTGGCTGAGGGAGACCAGGGCTGGGCCTGTCACATGTGAAACCCGCAGTCAACTTGAGCCAGGCTGGCCCACGAAGACTACCCTTCCTCCCGCCAAAACACCAGGCCCAAAGAGGAGAGGAAGGGCTGACTTTCAAAAGACCCTACCTATTCCCAGAAAAGCCATGAATGACTCTCCCGTTTAGTAGTCTCACCCCAGAACTGAGGCCTGGAGCCTGCCAGGCAGGGGCTCTCCCACTGAGTTGCACTCCAGCCCTTCAAACTTTTGCCCAGTGGGCTTTGAATTTGAAACTCTCCTGCCTCAGCCTCCCCTGTCTCATTATTCTGTGACTCACCAGTCTCCTTAGATGGATAAATTGATCTGAGCTGGGCTGTGGCTTTTCTTTCTCTTTTAGTGGTGGTGGGGACGGTTAGCACAAATCAAAACTCAGGACCTTGCGCTGCTGGGCAGGCACCGTACTGCTGAGCTATCTCCCTGGCCCCTTCTTTCTTTTCTTTCTTTCATTTTCTTTCTTTCTTTCTTTTTTTTTTTTTTTGAGACAGAGTCTCACTATGCAGTCCAGGCTGGTCTCAAACTCAGTACACATCCCTGGCTGGCCTCAAACTCATGATGACCTTCCTGTCTCAGCCTCTCGAGTGCTGGGAGCAGCACAGCTTCTCGTTTCTGTGGCCACTGTCCCACTTGGTCTTCTCTGCCTGAGGCTGCAAGGTGACTGGTGACCAGAGGCCACTGGTTTTGTGCTGCATCTTGGTATCAGCTTCTGAAAACTCCTAGTGCTATTCTGGCTAACACACAGCTAAGTATTATGCATGGTGACCTCTGATCCCCTTTAAATATTTAAACTTTCTAACAACTTCGACAAATTCCCAAAATAGGTTTCTTGCAACCCTTGGGTTGCAGAGGCAAGAAATGAGTGTGAGAATTACACAGGGAGACTCTTTCTCAAAAACAAACAAAACAAAACACTAAGTAAGGGGCAAGGGCACAATGCCTGCCTGGCGAGCACAAGGTCCTGAGTTTGAGTCCTGGAAAAAAAAAAAAAAAAACTAAATAAATAATAAACAAATAGGCTTCTTGACTTGACCTTAAATACAAACTGGTCTTGAAGTTTTCTAGCTGCTGGTGGAAAGCCTCAGGGAATCTGTGCTCTCATCTTGCTGCATGTAAACTGTTAAAGTTACTAAGTTTATATGAGATTAAATCCCAGGGAGCCAGATGTGGTGCTCACATTTCTGTCCCTGCACGCTGGGAGTTAGAGGCAGGAGGACTGTAATTTTGAGCCCAGCCTGGACAACACAGAAAATCAGTAAAACCTTGGCTCAAAATAAAAAATAACAGAGCCGGCGAGATAGCTCAGCAGACCAGAGCGCCTGCTTAGGCAAGTGCAGGAACCTCTGTTCAATCCCCGGCCCCACGTTCTGCACTAGCCGACCCCCAGGGTGGGCTGAGCCGGCCAGAGTCTGGACATAGCACATGCCTGTAATCCCAGCGCTGGGGAGGCTGAAAGCAGGAGGATCACCATGAGGCCAAACTGCATAGTGAGACCCTGTAACAACCAAATACATAAAAATATATAAATAAATACAAACAAAGGGCTGGGCACAGAGCTCAATGCCAGGGCCTGGGCTCCATCCCAGTACACAGGAAGATGGAGCTAGGTATAGAGGGCGAACTTCAGAACAGCATGGGTTGGTCAGGAGCACGCAGGCAAGGGAGCAGAGGGTGTCCCAGTGGGCAAGGCTCTAAGGGGGAGAGCAGGGGCTGCTACAGGCACCTGTGGACAGTGACCAGGCTGAGGCTGGGGCCACCCTGCCCCACAATGCCCTAAAGGTCACCCCTGTCACCAGCGGTCATTGATGAGTTCCTTTACCTTTATTATTTTCATTTACTGGTTTTGGTTAAGGCCAGACCCAAGTGACTTTTTTGATCTGTCAAAGTAAGCAGATCTGGCCTCCCCTGAGCCGCCGGTTCTTGTGGAGGTGACGGGTCAGTGGCCCAGAATGCCACCAAGGCCCTAGAAAGGCATGAGCGCCCAGAGGCATTTTCTCGTGAAATGGCACCAGTCCTAGTTCCAGGGCTTGACTTCCTTGTTTTGATTTTGTGGTGCCAGCGCTGGGATTAGGCTTGGAATGCCGCTGAGCCACACCCATCCCCTTTAATCTTATTGATCTATTGGTCCAGCTCAGTGCCAGGGACCCTCTGCGCCAGCCTGAGATTGCCTAAGCAGGTGCTCTAGACTGCTCAGCTATCTCGCCAGCCTCTTATCTCTGTCCTTTTGAGACACGACTTCACCATGCAGTTCAGGTTGGCCTTTGGTAGGTTCCGGCCTGAGTATAAACGGCTACATTATCCTGGTCCTGATCCAACATGGCTGAACCCCCAGAACACCAGCTTATCTTCCCCATGACCACTTCCTCCTTCCCTACTCCACCCCTGGATGCAGCATCCTCTCACCTTTCCCAAGTCACCAATACACCTAATAGCCTTTGAACTCACTTTGCAGCCCAGGCTGGCCTTGAGCTGGCAGTGGTCCTCCTGCCTCAGCCTCCTGAGTGCTTTGATTGCAGGCAGGTGCCCTTATGCCTGGATCTTTTTTTTTTTTTTTTTTTTTTTTTAATGGACTGCAGAAGATAGCTTGGCTGTCTAAGTGCCTGCCTGGCAAAGCACAAGACCCAAGTTCGATCCCCAGTACCGCATGCCATGCTAACCCCAAGTAATCCCAGCCCTCGGGAGGCTGAGACAGGAGGATCCCTATGAGTCCAAGCTGTGTAGTGAGACCCTGTACCAAATGAATTAATAAGTAAAAATCTAAAACATATTTTATCTTGAGACAGGGTCTCAGTGAGTTGCTAGGCTAGGCTCCAAAAAGCATATACTCCTCCTGCTCAGCCTTCTGCAGAGCTGGGGTCACAGGCACGCGGCACCGTACTTGCTTCCACTGGGTTATTTTTATAATAACCTCTCATTAGATTCCTGCCCATGGCCATGCAGCCATTTTTAGTCATTTTCATCCAGATAGCTGTTCTTTTACTTTGCTCGCTCCCTAAATGCTCTTTTGCTGTAGACCAGATTGCTCTGTGCTACACAGGCTGATCTTGAACTCCCGGGCTCAAGACATCCTCTGGCTGCAGCCTCCTTTGTAGCTGGAAAGGCCGCGCACACACACACACACACACACACACACACACTCCGTCCCCTGCCACTGCACCTTGCTGGTGAAGGTCTCTCAGCAGCAGCTGCAGGCCAGACTGCGAGACCTGGACAGGAGGCTGCTCTAGGGAGCCCAGGAGGGCGCCTGGCAGCTGGCTTCAGGGGCTTTGAGATCGCACCGCCGGACTGCGTAGCCTCCGGAGCCCAACTGGAAGGTCCAGGGGGTCAGGAGAGGGGTGGCAGGTGGAGCTGCACAAGGTCGACTCCAGCTGGGCAGACGGACACAGCACGATCACAACTTTCATGGGTTTTCCAAAACTGGCTCTCTGATGTCCTATTTTCTGCACATAAAAAGCCCTTTCCCTCTTTTTTTTTTTTTTAAGCTATCAGTGACTCGTAAAAATCTTGCAAATTATTCTTTTGTTAACCAGTTTGAGACTTTTATCTTTTCTCCTTGCCTGATATGCCCCCAAATTGAAAACTATTATCAAAAGCTCTTAAAACTCTTATCTCCATACCAGTATAGTTATTTACAGTTTCCATAAGCAACTGTCCTCCTTGGCTTTGATGACAATGTCATTTAAAAGTGAGACACAGCCACCCACACTGGCCCACGCCATTCGGGAGGCTACAGCAGCAGGATTGCTGGAGCCCGGGAGTTCAAGGCCAGGCCAGCCTGGACCACAGAGTGAGAACCCATTAAATAATGAGAGGGAGAGACCCACAAAGTCAGGTCTCACCACAGCGCTAAAGCTTGAGAGTCTGTCCTGAGAGTCGGCTGGCCCTGGCTCCCGCACACACCGACGCTGCAGGCTTCCTTCCCACCCTTCAGGTGCAGAAGCCTGGGTGTTTGGGAACCTGAGGAAGCCGCGGTCACTGAAGCCGTCTAGAGGGGAACTTCTGGTGTGCTCCTAGCCCCCTGCCTTCAAGGGCTCCCTGGAGTCCTTCTGCAGGGCTTCTTCCCTGCGGCGGCGCTCACATAATCTGGCCAATGCAGGGAGACCAAGCCCTTTCCAGGTCATCTTCCACTAACCTTCCACAAACCTGCCCAAGCACGTGGGGGCGGGGCACACGCACCTGGGGTCTCAACGCATATCAATCCGGACACTTCTGGGGCAGCTGGGGCGAGGGGGCTGGCTCCTTCAGGGTGGGGGCAGCGCAGCTGCAGCGGATCGATAGCCAGATAGCTGAGCTTGAGAGAACAGGGCAGGATGAGGGTAAGGGTGGGCGCAGACTCCGAGGGTAGGGTTCCCGGCCTAGGTGTGGGTGCCCTTCTTAGGGGAAGAGGGGCAGCGCGCGCGCCTTGCTAACGCCTCCCACTGGG